AATCTAAAACCAAATGAAATAAAGACTTGCAGGGCAGTAACTGACAAATATTTCCTGAACAAGATGATCAGGTTAGTGGATTCCTTTTAATTCTAGACAGTTCTGCAGGAATATTATTTTCTGTATTCCAGCTTTCGGGCCTAGTTTTGAAACAGACACTACCTGACTCGTTGCGTGTTATGATGTTTTCTGAGGGAAAGATAGATGAAATGCCTCCCATGAGTTCTCTTGAATGCACTGTTGTTTTGCCATTACCTATTATATAATTTTTCAAAAAGCGGTCCATGTTGTGTGTTAGAAGTACTTTTTTTTGGTTCCATTCCTCCTTGGATAGTAAAATTGTACTGGAAGATTATTGCTTGACCACTTAGCAATCATGTTCTGGATTCCCACTGGGAGGGATCCTTTCCTCATGCTGCTGACCATCTCAGAAAAACAGTCTTGCAAGATAATTTGAAAATTTGGACTTATGGTATATGTTACCTAAATATAGATGACATTCAGCTCTATTTATTTTCATCAAAGTCTGATGAGACTTTAGGTGTGCCTGGTTCATATGTAATGGTAATGGAATTGATGAGGATGAATGAAGAGCTCTTTACTTCCACATTGTTGCTAGATCCATGGCTCAGAAACACCTTCTGTACATTTAGGCTGTTAAATACCAATTGTGACCATAAAGGACAGAAATGGTCTAGTTTCAGTTTATCCATGCTCTGATAAAACACATTGTGCTTCACATACTTGTGTCTTTTGAAATTTTTCTGAAAATTTTAATTATTTGTTAATTTTAAAATTATTTTTGATAGGGCTACAAGACTATTAACTAAGACATGATGGTTCCACATATTATGCCAGTATTATCTGCACTGGTTTCTGATCTATTTCCAGATTGCTTTGACATTTAAAGTTCTTAAAACCAGATTATGGGAAGGCTGACCTTTTCTCACATGTACATATCTAAACAGTAAAATCATATCAGAAGGCTTTTCCCTGTGTGAAGATAAACTAAGTGAGAAACCATATGTGTACTAAGTGAAGGGCAGCAGGTGGTTGCTAAGAAGAGGGTCTTTTCATATTTACTTATGAGAGAACAAAACATAAGAGAAATCAGTGGGATATATGCCTGGGGAATTTTTTCAGTCAGACTAGTCAGTCTGTGATGATTCTATTGAACACAACTTGACCTATTGCATCTAAACACATCTAGAATTCAGCTATGAGCATGGAGTTCTTTATTTGTTGATGAAACATAGTACATTGACTCTGATTAATTGGGAAGATTAAGTTGAATTAAGAATCTGCACTAAAGTATCAACTGTTCTTTAAAGGCAGATTTATGCTACTTGTCTCAGCCTCCACAAATGTATTCTCTAAATGTGTTGATTATCTAAGGCTTCCACAGAAATTCAAGTGCAGTTGACTCATTGCTATCTTTGTGAGAACATTCAATGCACGCACAATAAGCCACCCAACCTCAGTCCTGCAGGCTGAATACACTCACCTAAATGATCATTTTGGCCTGCTGGATAAAATATAAGCATTGATTTTTCATGGCACAACTTATATAAATTATGTGAAAGTGTTTGAAGACACTTTATGATGTGTTAATGGCATGGGGGGAAAAGCATAATTTTCATCCTGTATTTCAAAAGTAACACAAAAATGGCTGTGACAGCATTGTATGGTTCCTTTAATATGCTATGGATTTCCTCACATTACTCAACGATTCAAGGAAGAGTTGGTCACCAACATCATACAAGAGAAGAGGTATAAGGCCTGATTCAACCTGGTAAAGTGGCATGACAAGGAAAAAGTATGCATTACTGCATGTGCTTTGTTGTGCTTCTCCTTTTTGGATTCAGAAGCTTTGGAGTAATGCAGCAGCCTGATACTACACTACGTTGTGTATTTCCTCTTTGGATCTATGACTTGCTATGTATATTGAAAGCCTTATTTGTGTTGTTGATATTGCAGCGACATTGCAAAGCATACAGATAATGAGGAGAGGATAAATGTAGACTTGAAAATTGCAAGATTGAAGTGAAAGGGTTAAAAAAATAAGGCGGGTAAGAAAAGGAAAACTATAGATATAAAAAATCTGTGAACATGCTGAGACAACATACCAAAAATGGTGGTAACTGTCAAAAGGTGGAGAAAACTGTGGTGTGAAAAGATAAAGGGAAGGAACTGGTGTTTTAAAAAATCGAATGAAGGATTGACAGAATGGCAGAAAACATGTGCTATGAGGTATAGAAAAAAAGAAGGGATGGGTATTGTGACAGAGAAAGAGAAAAAAGAAAAGAAAGGGAGGTTAAAAATAAACTGTTTTGAAGGGCTCTTTGATGATACAGAAAGTGAGAGAAAACAACTTCCCATAGAGCACAGTGAGAAACAGGTAATTAACAGATAACGACTTCCAAGCAAAACACTGAGTTCACATGCTTTTAAGTGCCTAACATAGTAACTAACAGTAATTTACTCTTCTTCACTTAATAGAAATGTATAAAAATTGCTGTCAACATTTCAACCCTGAGCTTTCTGTGATAGGTTTCAATAATATGGAATTGTCCCATTTACCTAGCTGAGTAAAATGAACATGTGAATAATAGAGTTGTTGATTTATTTGGTCTTTCTCTCTCTGACTTTTTTTTTTGCAATTTTAAATTCAGTTGCTGGAGAAGGAAAATTAAGATTGCTGGAAAAGGAATTTAAGGAGAAATTATATTTTAATTAATATTATTTTGTCATTTCAATTCAAGTCAAGTTAAAATTTTCTTGCAATTATCATGGCAAAGGGTTGGACTGGATAGTCTTTTCCTACTGAGACCATTAGTTTGAAATGTAAAGTTCTGAGGGAGACAAAATCTACCTTCAGCTAGTTTTCCGAGTAGTCTCTTGTGTCTTCTGCAGTTTTCATGCTTCTCACTTCTTCCATTGCATCTATAAGGAATCAAGAGCCCCTAGCTTAGTCCACACTCAACAATTCTTTGAGTGTGGTTGAGAAGGACGAGCAAAGCCTGAAGTTTGGAGCCAATTTTTTTTTCCTATACAAAAGCAGACTCTTGACAGTGACTGGACCTTGACTATAGAGCAATCTGGCATGGATAATGATAAGAATATCTAAGACTGTAGGGTGGCATACATTGTCTCAATCATTATTTTGGTTGTTCAGAAAGAAATAATTATTGATCCAGATTATTTTTATTGAAGCATATGGGGACAATACTGAGCCTGGAAAACCATGTGAACATTGAGGAAGTCCAGCAGATTTGGTTTTTCCCATTTGTTTCAGTATACATTGCAAAATTCCATAGTTAGAAGGAAATGTAAATACACAGCTTCCTGGTCAAAGTATGTATGTAGGTATGTGCCAAGAGATCTGAGTGGTCATTAAATCCTGATGCTCTTGAAAGAGTTTAGCGTCAGGATCAATCTTAGGAGTAACCCAGCACAGCAGGTCCAAACACAGACTGTCAGTCCCGGGATATGTTCCCCTGCTCTCCTCACAGTCTTCTTTTGAAGTGGATCAAGATGGAGGGTGGATGAGGGATGCTGGACCATATATGCGCACATGTGAATATCTTAATATAACTATAAGCAAATTTGCATGTGCGCATATGAGTTCCAGTTCATAATGGAGGGATTAAAAAAAAACCTTCAGTCTGATCTGTCTCTTCTCCCAATTCTTAATTCAACCTCTGTTTAAGATTATACAATGTAAAAGCATATGTTTTGCATGATTGCAGGGATATACAGTCATGCAAAGGTGCACATTTTTCAGCCAGAATCGAATTTTAAGCACACCTTTTTAATGCGTGTTTTCAACCTTTTAACCTAATCCCTCCTGCACTTTAGCTAGCCATCATTAAGTCACACCCCCCTCTCTTTTAACCCCCTTTACTTCTGGATTTTACAGCATGTATAGAAGGGCCCATGGCCCTGTAGAAGCTACTGCACTCTATATCCCATCAACCCCACCCCTGTGGCTCGTGGATAGGAATGTTGAAAGTTGTATTTCAGCTAAATCGAAAAGATGACAGATGAATAAGGCAACAGTCGTACTCTTAAAATTTGTGAGAAACTGGGTTTGTACAGTTTTCATATTTACAGGGCAATCGTGTGCTTACTCAAAAGTCCCACTTGGTTCCAGTAAGTATTTTGAAGAGCTCCATAGCTCCCAAAGTGTAGCACTATATGAGCTGCAGATTATTATTGATTCCTAAGACTATAACAAGGAACAAAACTTCATTTTATATAATCTTTTTACAGTAATTGATTTACAAGAGCATAATCTTGTCATAATCTAGTCAGTTGCCTTTTGCTGGAAACATGCAGCAGACCACCAGTTTCTGTGGTACATGCACTATACATACAGTAATGTTTTTGCAATAACTTTCTCATCTAAAGTCCTACACCAGGACTAGGAAACACAATGTTCACAAGCTGTTTGTAGCACCATTTCGATCCCTGCTTCAAAAATGTTTTTAGCTTCCTGAATTTCCTTTAAAACAAAGTGTACATTCTTTTTGTCTCTTGTTCGCAAACAATATTTCACACAGGCAAGCAATAGTATGGAAATGGCATACATCAAGAGTGTAAACTTTGTTTTCATACCACTATGGTGCCTTTAAAATAAAAAAGTCATTACTAATTTGGATTGGGAACAGTGCAGCTCCCAATAGCAGATGCAATACACCCACTCACACCAAGAGGCTGCCTAATCTTGTTCTATCTGTCTGTCTGTCTATATTACAATCAATGACCAGCACCAAAAAATGTACAAACGTCAGAATAGGAACATATTTAGCTATTAAGAAACAATGTCAAAAACAAAGTTAAAACCCAGTATTGAATATGTCTATATTGACATAGTTTTCATGCAATTATATTTGCACATTTCAATCGCTAAGATTTCACTTCAGCTTACCATGACATAATTTGAAAACCCTGATTTAGACTGGCTTTTGTGTGTAGCTCATTTTCTTCATGTCTTGCAGCTGAAACTCTAGAAGAAAAGTCTGCAGATTCGTTGCAAGATTTGTACCGATCTTTGGAACTAGCTAGTTTGAACCCTTTGGGAGACTTTCAAATATCTACCAAAATGGAATACAAGAAATTTTTTATCAAGCGTTGCAATGATCCAGTGGTCAATGAAAAATTGCATCAGCTGCGAATTCTAAAGAGCACTTTAAAGGTGAGTTGAGGAGGAGCAAGCAAATCTCACAAAATCTTACGGTTCACTCCGGTGCTAGAAAATGCTATGGGCATAAATCACTTACAACCTCAGATAGTAGGGTTTGGTTTCAGCATTTTCAGTTCCGGTTTCCAGTTATCTTGATCCATGAACACTTCATCTTCATTTGGTTCATACAGCTGTGAATGATGGTCATGTCATTAATATTTTCATGATGTTTTAATAGTTAAGAACACAAGTTGGTTTTGGTCTGCTTTCTAAGATTTCTAAAAATTGGACCATACCCATTATGAAACCAAGGGCTTCTCTGTATTACCCAAAAACCCCATACTGAATTTGAGCAGACTACTCACTGTTTTCATGGAACACAATGATTTCCAGTGAGTATCACAGAGTCTTTTGGTTTAAACTGATTTTGTCCCACCTTTGACAAAGTTGGGGGAATACTCCAGAGTTGGCTCAAACCTCCAGAATATCCTGGGACTCCAGGGCAGGTTGACAGTGGGATGGACTTTGATTTTGATCATTCCACTATCCAGGCTGAAGACAACTGGGATTTACACTGTACAAAATTTCCCAGTAGAGTTGTGCCCCAAGTACCATGCTTTGAGAATTGCTTTTTAGCCTGAACCTGTTAAATACTTCGACAGTCATGGGTTTCCCAGATGTCAGAAGAAAGTTCCACATGTCTGAAATGGAAGGCCAGAGACCACAAAGGTCTGTACAGGTTCAGCATCCTGTATCTGGAATTCCAAACTCCGAAATATTCAAAAACCCAAAATTGTCTATATGGGAAGCTGAGATAGCAACACCTCTGCTTTCTGATGGTTCAGTGTATACAAACTTAGGTTCATGTAGAATTTTACTAAATCATGTGCACTAAATTATGTGCACAAAATGTATATGACATGTAAATGACTTCATGTTTAGACAGGGTCTCATCTCAAAGGTATCTCATTATGTATTCATATGCAAATATGGGCATTCCTGTATCTGGAATTCCAAAGTTAATATAGTTTGTATGAAATATGTGCAATTTGACTACGGATTGGCCTTTAGACTATGACTCTGGATAATGTGGTTCATTGAAATGTATTTTTAATATACTTATGTTTAAATATTTAACTTATGTTTTAACTGATGTGGTGTGTTTTAAGACTCCATGAAGGTGTGATTGTAAGCCCCTTTGAGTCCCCCTCAGGGTAGAGAAAGGTGGGATATAAATAAGGTAAATAAATAATAAATAAATTCCAGAATAAATTTTAAAAATCCAAATACTTCTGGTCACAAACATTTTGAATAATGGATACTCAATCTGTAATGAAGAAAATATGCTAATCTTTAGAATGACATAAGACTCTGTTGCTTTATCTGTAACTGATGCAGACGGCTATTCCTCATAACCTCTTCAGTTTCTTGATTGGGCATATTTGTGTGTATTTGACCTCACTTTTATGTTTTGTTAATTTATCTTTTTTCTCTCTTTCTCAATGCCTTGCTCTCCTCTCACCCTTTTTGTCTTTTTGAGTTACTTCCCCTTTTCCTGATTCATTCATAAACACATACTTTATTAGAAAAGCTGTTTGGAAGCTCCTTGTTTTCTTATCAGGAAAGTGCTTGGATATATGTTTAAAAATGCATTCACCAAGAACAAATGGTTTCACTCTTTTGTTCTGAGAGGGAATGGAAAGCTAAGACACAGCAGGTTAATTGTTGCTCATTTCAAATCCAATTTCTTGATGTTTTTCAGGCCAGAGAAGAAGAAGTAGCCATCATAGATAAAGTTCTGGATAATCCAGACTTGACTTCTAAAGACTTTCAAGACTGGAAACAAATGTATCTTGATCTGTTCCTGGATAATTCACAGAACAACCTTTCGGAGGACCCTGGTAATGACTCCGATGAAGCTGATGCACTTCTAGACTCTCTAGCACATACTCATTCCTACATTGAAACGCATGTATAAAAAGAAAAATATCAGGTTTTTGTTTTCACTCTGCAGCTTTCCAGATCTACTTCAGTGCACAGAGTAGCTTTTATATCAGTCTATAAGAGATCTATTTTAATGTTTCTAATATGAGTTCAGTGCAATTTCCATAGTCATTGTGTGAATAGAAACTTACATACTTTCTATGCTGCTGATGTTCACTTTATGTTTACAAACTCTGACTATGATCCAAAGGAGTATGCAGTCATGGGAGAGAACCATGATGCACAACTCTTATTGTTGGAGAGAGCAGCTGCTTTTCAAACTGACGAGAAACACATATCTAGCTTCTTTGGATCAAAACCATTGTATTTATCGGTTTTTTAAAAAGAAAACTTTAAAAATAGGTATTTTGGAGGATTACATTGATTTATCGAAGGAAAGTTGGCATAAGAGCAGTGTTTTACTGCAGAAAGTCATTCCGTTTCCTATTTTAGTAGTATATAACTGTTGTTAAGAGTTACATTTTCAAAGTGCAGCTTTTGTTTTGGCCAGTGTGATAATTAAACTTTTATATTTGGTGGAATATTTTAGATATTTTCATAAATTATTAAAAAGTGTAGTACTGTGATAAGGACTGCATTTTAAAGAAGAGTCAGGGAATAAGAAAAAAGGACTTTCATAATATGCTTGGATGCTTCATTTTTCACATTCTTTTGAAAGAGGATTAGCAGACAATCTATGGCACAGAATTAGTCAAGGACTAAGGGCTGTCTGTGTTTCGGTTTTGACACAGATTTTAGCACATGTAAGCTCAAGTATCTTATTACCCATTTCTCAGCCTCTTCTTACTTGTATACAGGGGTTTTTCTATTCTTAAAGCATGAACAATTTTTCTTTCAAGTCAACATTTTAACTGTTTTGAAATTATCAGTTCAAGATAATTCATGCTTTGAACTTTGAGAACACATTGACAATTCTGGGAAAAGGGAAGGGACACAAGTGTTTGGTAAAAGCATTTGTCCACTTCATACTAGCGTTACCCCTTTTTTGGTGGCTGGAATTATCAGTAAAGCACATAGGTTCAAAAGATTAGTTTCAAAAGGCATCAGATTCACACATAAACCAAATATTATTTATTTTTTTTAAAAAGTTCCCTGGAAATTCATTTAAACTTTAAAAGGAACTGCGATAATTTCAAAACAGTTAAAATGTTGACTTGAAAGAAAAATTGTGTTACTGGGACTTTCAAATATTGAATGTCATAACTGCAGATGTATGCCACATATAGTCTATTAACTCACAAGTAGCTGGACTCTAACCAGCAAAGCTGCAACCATAGTATTTTTATTTTATTGATACCATTAAGTTAGGCATTCATTCTTCAAAATCTAGATTTTAATCCCCTCAAATTGTTTGCATTCTTGTTTCTTCCACAGTCATCTCATTCTTTCATTTTAAAGTGTAGATTTCCAGTTATTTCAGATTCCAAAGCAGGTCTAGCACAAACCTTTTAGGCCTGAACTAGCGATACTGCTATTTAGAGGTGTGGATCCATGTAAGCTTGCAGTCCTGCCTCTCACCAATATGTGTTTGTTTTTGAGCTTTTCCTGAGGGAGAGCTCGTTACACTAGCAATCAGAAGACACTACACAGCCATTTTGTCTCCCCCTGCCCCTTTTCCATGGTATGAGCATACAGAAGAAGCCATGGGAAAGTGTAGGAGGTTACAAGTGGCAGATAACGATATCCAGAGGTCCCTGTAACAGTTGAAGGGTGAAGCAAGATGATCTTGAAAGGTCATCTGTAACCGTGCTATGTTTCTCAGAACTAAAACTCTACTATTTGTTCAGGAGTTGAAAATGCTGCAGATTTAGCTAGTTTCAAGAGGATAATAAGATAATCTTGACCAGAGAGTTGTTCCTTTTACCTAATGTTTGGTTTGAAACTGTATCAGGAGAGGTGAAATGTGAAATCGTTTTATGTATGCGTATGCGCCTGCCTATTACAATGACTTAAAACACCAGTCATGCTTGAATTGGAGTCTGTTGTATCAAATTGCACTGTAGTGTGAAAGGTTTGCTTTGGAGAATGGGGATCACTGAATACTCAGTGATAGGAGGTGGTAATCCCATGCTACTGTGTCAGGACTGGTGTTAATTGGATCTTGTGTTGTGTTGTAGGAAAACATTTTGGCTTCTGCTTTTTTCAGCAACTATGAAACTAAGTATATAATGGAGATAGCATCCTCCTCTTGGTGGCCTGCAAATGCTTTAGACTACAACTCCCAGAATTACTTACCATTGGCCTGGGGCTGATGACAACTGATGCCCAAAGTATCTGGAGGGCATCATGTTAGAGAGTATTAGCATACTGCCTTGATCAAACAGTGGTGCATTCCACCTAATATGTGCCCAGCGAGGGAGAGGTTAAGACAGAGTCTTTCTCACTTGACCCCAGTTACTATTTCATGACATAAACAACCACTGTATCTGGTTCCTCTCATTTTGTCCTTTCCCTCCAAAGAGTATTTTGGACTGTAGTTACCACAATCCCCCAGCCAGCATAGCAAGGCTTGTTTTGGAGTGCTGCTTTGGAGTACAGTGTTTTGAACAATGTTTCTATTTGGACTAGAATTCCGATTCTCAACATTCAGCACTTCTTGGGGGACTCTGGGAACTGCAGTTCAAAAAGTGACATTTCCAGGACCAACAGCAATAGTTTGTGATATAAAAGAGGAAAACATGGGTGAGGTTTTCTTGGGATTACTGATCAGCATAGCAAGGCAATTAATTACACAATTAACCCTCGGTTTCACTAGCCCTTGCATCTTAAATAGCAATTTCATGTTGCTTTTGACTGGAAATACTCCAAGTGATTAACTCTAGATTCTTTGCAGTGGACTCATCAATACCTTCCCCACTGTTTATTCTCACATTGCAAGAAGTTGACTGCATTTTGACAGTCCTTCATATGTCACAGAATTGGCCCTGAGATACCCAAGTTGATACAGTCAATCTCCTAATAATTGAAAATGCAGCTGAGGTTGATGCATTTACGATGAAACCTGTCTGTGCCTGACTAGGGATAGAAGCAGTAAATTCAAAACCGTATGTTTTTGCCCTTTTATCAGCACCTTGATTCTTGTCATGATTGTGCATGACAAAATAAATCGCCTTGTGGCTTCTTAATGCTTTTCTGCACATGTGAGGAGTTGAGATATGAGCTGATCGATACCTGGGCAAAAGGGAAAAAAAAGACAAGTCTTTTAAAACGAGTCTGTCTGAGAAGTTGTGCTTTCTAACCTGGCTTCCAGCTATTACTTGTTCAGCTCAGCGAATGTACTTTTAAACTTTTAATGAGCATTTTATGTTCTGCTCTTGGACTAAGCTTAAATTCAAAGGATAGTCCATTTCTTTTCAACTGCATTTTTTGATTGCAAACGTCTTGCAAATTTTGCACAATTGTACAGGAGAGTGGCCTTTTAAAAGCTAATTTTACGTAAATCTGTATTCTGTTGAACCTGAATGACAAACCATACATTTGTATGGAATTCCAGGTCCAGTGAAAATGTTTATATCATCTACAATATTCTGTTTGTATAAACAATTTATTGACTGCATGACTCGTTTGTTATAATTTGTGATATTTTGTATATTTCTCACATAAAATGCTTGACCCTGAAATGAATTATGATATTTCCAAGATCTAGTTTCTTCTTTTATCACTCTCTCTCTCTTTCACCATTATAGGATAGTAAAGGTAAAGGTTTCCCTTGACATTAATTATCTAGTCATGCCCATCTCTGGGGGGGGGGTGTGTGTGTGCTCATCTCCATTTCTAAGCTGAAGAAGAAGCCTCCCAGGCCATGTGGCCAGCATGACTGTGTGGAGCACTGTTACCTTCCCACCGAAGTGGTACCAATTGATCTACACACATTAACAGCAGGAGCTCACCCCTGCTCCCTGGATTCAAACAACTGATCTTTCGGTTAGCAAGTTCAGCAGCTCAGCGGTTTAACCCACTGCACCACTGGGAGCTCCATTTTAGGATAAGGTAAAGGTAAAAGTTTCTCCTTGACATTAAGTCTAGTTGAATCTGACTCTGGAGGGTGCTGCTCATCTCCATTTCTAAGACAAAGAGCTGGTGTTGTCTGTAGATGCCTCCAAGGTCATGTGGCCAGCATGACTTCATGGAGCGCCGTTAGGATGCAAATCCAATAATCAAGAAATAAAAGTGTGCTTACTAAAATAAAACTATACCCATACAAGAAAGGTGCCACAGGAATTATATCTGTGTAATACTAAAATTCTTCCATATTTTTCTGCTATAATTGGTGAGAGTATTGGGAATGCCAAAATATTATGTCGCTGTGAACAGTACACAGCAGACAGGATTTTCTATAGTAAAATCAAGGAATATTTGGGGAGGGGTGGTATTTGGGTTGGGTAAAAGGCATTCCAAATATCCCACTGCTGCAGGTGCTTCTTGTATATAGAAAGACTTTCCATGTGAAAGAAAACTGAAAATTGTTTATAAAACATTTGAATTGCTTCTATTTCATTTTGGTTCATCGTACACATGTTGAGAAGCTGTGATTACACAAGGCTTTCCACACTGTGTACGTGTCCTGGTAAGGCGTGACCACCACAGCTTCAAATGTACATACATAGGCTAATATAAAGACATGTTCGATTGTATGCTTTATTTTGTCAGTTAATTGCCACATCACATAGTCCCACAAAGCCTTTACGTTGGCTTATACCATAAAATGAAATACCATAAACCACAATATCTTACATCATCAACAACAAACCAAGATAGAGTGAGGAAAGAGCAGACTGGCAACAGATAAAACCCAATATTAGAAGCTCCTTGATTAGAAACAAGTGTAATTTCCTTTTTAAAAAATCTCCTCTTGTAAACTTTGTTTTTTGTCTTATACTGAAGCAGTCCCCTTGTATGAGAAGAATGATGTAACACAGGGTTCATCTAAACTGTGAAATCAATGCAGTTTGACAGCACTTTAACTGCCATGGCTCAATGCCGTGGAATCTGGGAGTTGTAGTTTGGTGAGGCACCAGCACTCTTTGGCAGAGAAGGCTAAAAACCTTGTAAAACTACAACTCTCATGATTCCATTGCATTGAGCCATGGCTATGGTATCAAACTGCATTAATTCTAAAGTATAGCTGCACCCACAGTGGACATAAGTCCCTGTGCATAAGACCCTTGAAAGATCAAACAGGTTGCAACACTGAACACCAGCAGAGGCTTCGGCATGAACCTAAACTCCTCTACCCAGCTGGCTATGCAATACTGGGGCAGAGTGAGTTCGTGCCAGCATGTTCTCGGGACTCAGCTGTCAGGCAGTTTTCATGACGACCTGTTGCTATGCGACAGTTCTCTTGCTTGCACATTGGTGAAGACAGTGTTCTGAACTGCCAAAGATAAAAATTCAACCTCATCTTGTAAGATTGTCTAGCTTGAAACAGATTGTCCCGATGTATTCATTGCACTCATTTTCTCTAAATGTGCTGTTCCCAAACATCTATACTGCGTGGCATTTCAGACTAAAAGCGAGATCCTGTAAAATGAGTTTAAAATGCATATAACATATAATTTATATCACTCTTCCCACGCTGAAATCATAATGTGTAAAGTCTATTAGTTATTGTCACATAAAATTAGACCATTTATAATTATTTAACCTAGCAAAAATGCCTTTTAATACATTATCACTAACTCTCAAAATAAACAAGTATGGTATATAATACATGCAATCATCAGTCTTTATTAACATTCTGTAGCCTTGTGGGAATGTTAAGAAGTCAGAATTTTCCCACTAGTATGATCTGGTATATAGGGTGTCCTTTCCTGAATTGCTATAATTGGGGAGAGTGTGGGTGCAAGTAGTATTCATTCCTATTAACATTAAACCTTTTGATAATATTTTCCTTTTAATTTAATTTAAAGTACTGCTATCATTCTTCTTGCTGTAAGATTCAGCTGCTCCATAAATTTCACTGATAAAAACTTGGAAGCAGCGGAAACGGCTTTTGAGGATTTCTATTTGAAAATACTTTGAAAAAATACCGTCTCTAATTTGAAATTTCAGCACCACTTAAAAAGCACGAACTATTGCCTTTTAATTTTTTAGACTTTTTTTTATAATTTTAAGCCCTTTTAGATGACCTGTATGGATCATGTTTCAGTAAGGTGTAACCCCAACATTTGGTCTCTTTTGTTGTTGAATGTCCTGAGTTTCTATCAGTTCAGAAAGTTGTAGCACAGCACATTGCAATCCATACCAAGGCAAGGAGGCTTTGCAGATTTCTTCCCAGCAGTCATTGTCTATATCATAGCCCACCACATCCTGAGTTGGGATCTCCCGGGAATCTTGCCATTTTTTCCCTCCAATGAGAAGGGCAGTTTCCTCCACTACTGCTAAACCATAACTAAATCGATCATAAACCAATGGCCTTAAGCGAGTCCATTGATTCTGGTCAGGATCATATTTTTCAATTTCAGAAAATGGCTCATAAAATCCTAAAAATGTGAAAATGGACTCTCGGATTGTGGCCATCTGATGCCCAAATCGAGCAATGCTCATTGGAGCTTGCTTTTTCCATTGCCCTTCTACTGTACTCAATGCGTACAAATCTTTACTTGTATTACTTTGATCCATGTATTTGCCACCTGATATATAGGCAGTGTTCTTGCAAACAGTGCCAGCGTGACCATGGATTTTGCTTGGCAAATCTTGAACTTTTGTCCAGGTGTCTTGGCTAATGTTGTAGACTTCAACAGAAGAATGGAATGATCCATTCTCCCCTTTGCCACCAATTGCAAGGATCCTGTTTTCTAGCACACAACAAGAAAATAGGCATCGCTTTTCCAGCATCCCAGTAATTTGTATCCATTTGTTAAATCTAGGATCATATCGATGGACCCTGTTTGTAACAATCAAAGAGGGACTTTGGCAATCACTCTGTGAATTTTCTGTCTCACCGCCTAGTACATAAAGGAAGTTACCAACTGTACACACACAATGATTTTGTATCCTGTCTGGCACGTGTGTTAAAATTTGCCATTTGTGGTTGTAAACGTCGAATGCTACCACATCCCTGAAGGGCCCTGCATCTTCAATCATACCTCCAAGCAGGATAATCCTTGTCTTCTGATTTCTCATGGTGCTGTATTTATCTTGCAGGAGAGGTTGTCTTAAAATGAGTGAATGATAATTTATTGCTTTTATAATTAAGCATTTAATGGAAGCTGTCAGAGGCACTTCGGACTGAGTGTAGGTTTTTCTCAGATCTTCAACTGGAATGAGACCATATCTTATGTGTTCCAAAAGGCTAGTTGTGTGCGTTAACCTCAATTTGTCATACTTTAGCCACTTTAGTAATAAATCTAGCAAAATTGACTCTTTTACCATGGGCACATCAGGAGACTTGACTATTCCCTTCAAAGAGTGAAAGTTCAGTTCTAGCAACCCTGCCAAATCCAAATCCAGAAGTTTCCAGAGATTAAAAATTAGATACTTTTCCGCTGCAGATAAAGCATCTGGAAGATAGAATTTTGCAGCAATATTGGCAGAAAAGCAGCAATTCTCCAGAGTCAGATTATTAGCTAGGAATTGGCTGCACAAGCCAATTGCTTCAGTCACTTGCAAGTAAGTAACAGCTTCCAAAGTATCTTCCAAACTGGCAAAAGACAAAGGCAACCAAGAGGTATAAATGAAATCCAAAACATGTTGCAAACCAGTTGCTGAGATGACTTGCAGGTGAATAATGGCAGCCTTGGATTCTTTGGTATAGCTCTTGAACATTGCCCTGAAGTAATCACTGGAACAGGCCAGCAGAGACTTGTGAGCAGGGAATTCATTTTCTTTCACCTTCAATAAAATGTCGCAGAGCAAGCCTTCAGCTCGGAGGGTTTGATACTGTGAGAGCACAGCGCTACAATGTCCTTTGCAGTAAGACAGGAAATAATTCATTGTAGAGAGCAAAATGCTCTGAGTCTCTTTTTTTAAGCCAATAATAAGGGAAGGGAAGAAGCTGAAGCTGTGCTTTAAGTCAACTGTGCAAGGAAGTTTTTGAAGAACAAGCATCAACTTCCTGAGCTGGTGACAAAAAGCCCACTTAATAATCTGACATACCTCTCCAATTAAGGCTCCTTTTAGTACATTGTCTCATGCATTCATTCATAAAGTCGATTCTAGTCATAATCTTCAGGCATTCATTTCTCTCACCTCCATTTCCTGCTTAAGGATAGATGGTCCACAGGAGATGGGATGACTTGCTTGGACAGCATCAGGTGACAGAGTTGAGCGATAGATGACATTAAGTGATGTTTTGCCAGCTCAGATATTTCTTATGGCTCTTCTTTCTCTTTAAGAAGATTAAATAAGTCTTCTGTGGCTAATCATGCATGAGGAAAGACAGAAAGAGGGATGAACTTTGCTGGAGCTTTTGTCCAAGCTCTGTATTTCACTCTTAGATAAGTTTAGCTCTTATTCCCCCAGGACTAAGAAGCCACATATGGAGATCACTCCTCGTAGGAAATCTCAGCTGAAAATAAAATCAGCACCTCCAGATTAGAGTGGGAGGACTTTGTGAACACGTAGACCTTTTAGCCTGGGAGCAGACAAACAAGCAAAATATGAGGATTAGTCAGTGGTTTAAT